TATAAGTTTAAATAATATATTTAAAAATGAGTTATTTTGAATCTTATATATTTTTTTTATATATAATTCATAGATGCTTATAATAAAAATAAATTAGAAGATGGTGTTGCTTCAATAAAAAAAAATTTATAACCGTAATGAACCTTTATAATTAGCTGAACCGAACGGAACCTTTATATAAATTTCTTCTCAAGAACCGTAACCAAAACGTAACCATTATAATTTTTTATACACTGAACCGTATCGTAACCAAACTGAACCGTTATAAATAACGATACGGGTCCCTGCTTAAATGTTTAACGAAATGCCATATTGCATTGAATAATTGTTGCAATAATTCGGATTTTTTATAAATATATTTTTTAAAACAAAAAAGTCTTAACCTCATCCCTTTTCATTCATTATATTTCTTAATTTTATACTATTTTTGGCATTTTAATTATATGGTGCCAGCTGCAAAAAAAGAGAAGAAAAGTAATTAATATTTTTTAAAAAAATGTCTTAACCTCATCCCTTTTCATTTATTATATGCCTTAATTTTATACTATTTACTTTTTTTTAAATTTTCTTTTTAAATCCCTTATTTTGGCCTTTTAAATATATGGTGCCAGCCGCATAAAAGAGAAGAAAAAGTAATTATATTTTATTTATTTTTTTCATGGGGATTCGGAATATTTTTTAAATATTTAGAAAAAAGATCTCGAATAAAACGTGGGGATTCAAGTACACAAATTAATTTTATTTCACTCAAACTTTTAGCTTTCAATGTTTATACCTCAGAGTTATAATTACTCCTCTTTTATTATCTAAATCATAGTTTGAAATTGAAAAACTATTTTAAGTGTACTTTGCTCAGCCCCAACTCTTTCATCGCCTCATTTTCCTTTGTCTAAAATATCAACATCGATATTGCTTCTATTCCATTATTTAAAGCATTCATCTCAAAGTCAAAAGCTCTTCTATTTTCATTATCTAATAAATATAAAATAAATGAGTAAAAAATGTTTTTATTATATATACTTTAACTCCAATCGTTCATTGCCTCCTCTTTTGTCTAAAACATTATCAATATTGCTTCCATTTCCATTATTTAAAGCATTCTTCTCAAAATAAATTTCTTCTTTCTTCATTATCTAATATAAAATAAATAAGTAAAAGATGTTTTACTTTAATATACTAGAGTTTTAAAAAAGTAGTTTCGTGTACTGGTTTGGATCTTAAAAATTTTCATAGGAAGTGGTATGCTAAATTAAATTTAAAAATGAGTAATATAGTTGATTAGTGATTTTGAACTCGGCCATAAGGAATCTTTTATTTGTCATATAATATATTATATTTAATATCAAATTTCAAAAGCTAATAATTCTTTTGAAATATAGTGAAAATATAATTTATAGTATTAATCTAATAATTAAAATTGCACTCATTTAATAAAAATTTATAGGCTTATTAATCTTTTTAAAATAATGTAAAATCTATGTGTAATACATAATAGAATTTAAAAAAAAGTTGTTCAGGGGTCTATCAAATTTTTTTATTTCGTTCATGGGGCTATTAGGGAATTTAAAAAAATTTCGTTCAGAGGGCTATTCAATTTTTGAGGGGGCTCGAGCCCCTGCATTTACCCCCCCCCCCAATGACACTACTGATAAAAGTAGTTTTAAACTAGTGTCAAATGATTTTTTGGGAAGTTGAATAATCAAAATAGGCATTATTTTTATTGTCAAAATTATTCTTTTAGGCAGTATTTATAAATTTTTGGACAATAAATTAATTAAAAAGGGCCGTATTTTTATTATCAAAAAAAATAATAATTTGAACAGTATTTATAAAATATAGAGCAGAAAAAATAAATAAAGTTGACTTGTAAACTAAAATTATTCAGTATTTATTTAAAAACCAATTTGTTTAAATATTTATGCTTAATATAAGTTATCGTAGTATATTATATGAAAATTAACATATCAAATAAGTGAACATTGTGCCATTGAGCCAATCTAAATGAAAATAAATGTCAAATGATTACACATAAATAATTTAAATAAGATAGGGCAATCGCAGATTCCTTTCCCCAAATCATCTATATTTTTGGTAGTTTTATAAACTAGATTTAATTAATAACAAATTTATTTCTTATTGATTAATTGCTTTCAATTTATGTGCAGGTTCTTGTTTTATTGGATATGCAGTAAATTATTTTTGCTCCATAAAGATTGACACTTTTGAAATTAGCTTGTATATACTTTTTTATAGTCTTCTCCGTATCGACTGTGGCCACTAAATTGAGATCGTGAGACACAGCATGAATGTTATGATAGAAAGTCATAGCGTTCTGCTGTTGATCAGGATATCCATATCCATAAGTTGAAAATCTTTATCCATTTAAAAAACTTTAATCTTTAAATATTCTACCTCTTTTACAAGAGAAATATCTATTATAGGATGGAAATATAACTTTTATTTCACCCATCTCAATATCTTCTACCTGTTATAACCCGATATTGTTTTTATGTTTATAATTTGAGTTTAAAAATGGCGAGAAATAAAATATATAAATAGTAACTCGGCGCAACTTAAAATATAATTAAATAGTTTCATAAATTAAATAAATATATATTGTTTTTATTGTAATCAACAAATACATTAATTAATTTTTAGCCAATTTATACTATAATTATAGGAGCTAACTCCTGCTCCCGAGTTTTGAAAAATAACGGCGCTCCAGGTGTTTTTGAAAATTTTTAACACTATTTAAATGTAAATTAGATTATATTCAATGGTAGTTTTGCTAATCGGCTAAGCCGAGTCGGCTTATCTGTGACTCGAGTCTAGTTTCTAGTCGGAAAACGACTACTCCGACTTGAGTCGACTACCGAGGCTATTTTATATATAAAAATAAAAATGTTACATAATCATAACTTTTTAATATATATATCAGACCTACAGAGATACGATTATTAGATCCTTTTTAATTAAATCTCTTAACTTTATCCCTTTTCATTCAATATGTATATGACTTATTTTATTTTTATACTATTTACTTTTTTAGGCATTCTCTTTTCAAATCCCTATTTTGGCATTTTAATTATACCCTTAGAAAATAATTTAGAAAATTAAATTTTCTGGTGCCTACTAGACGGCAAAAAAAGAAATTTTATTATTATTTTATTTTTTGGAAATAAATAAAATTTTTGCATATTTCATTTGTATATTATATAATAAAAATTGTATGTTATTCATATTAATAAAGTTTATGTACATTTATTTAGTAAAAAAAATAGGTCCTTATTTAAATTAGTATTATCCAAGCCAGCTTAAAATAGATATTTTAACTAATGCCCCTTAATAAAGAAAATTATATGTACTAAGATTCTGTAATGAACTAAACTCTAGCAGTGAATACTGTTTTCTAATTTTATTTTTTTTGAGTCAGATGTTTTTCCTTCAAAACTTGAAAGATTAATCGTGTAAGATATTACAAGGAAGGTCGGTTCAGAAATTTTAAATTGTTTGGTTGGGCATCTTGAGATCAGAGACTGATCTATGGGTAACCCATCGAACCCGGGGTAATATGAATCGGGTAGGGTTCCAACCTCTTTTAGAAAATAAGTTTTCGATTAAGTTCATGTTATTAAAATTTCCACCAAATATAGTCTAAAATTCCTAAACTCGATTACGGGTCCAGAATCCTTTTTAGTTTCGAGATAAATATTCTTAAAATAAAATGGAAATAATGTCTTTTTATAATTTTCGTTCACATTAATCAGTAACCCATAATTTAGCAATTTATCAGACATTTGAGTTAGCCGTTTATAAAAATCAACTCGAATGGAGTCGTTTTACAAACTACATATAAAAAAAATAAATATCAAAAATTATAATTTACACAAATAAATAAATTAAAAAATTGTGTCGGAGCCGTTTTTTACCATTACGACTGGAGTTCTGAGTCTTAAGAACTCGATTATTTAACAAAACTACTCATTAGGTTGTCCCGACAAGGAAATAATACTTAACAAAATTATCACCTATCAAAATAGTACTGTGCAAATCCACAAATTTTTCACCGATCCGATATTACTAAAAAACCAATCCGTTATTTATATTGATTTTAATTTACCATCTATCTTTTTATCAATGTCATAAATATATCAATATTTTTTGCTTTAAAAAAAGCCAACTAATTCACGAATGATTAAATGTATTTTATTTTTTACAAATTATAATTCTCATTTAAAATATTTGCAATGTTTATGGGTGATTGTAGTGTTGTTAAACAGCTCCGTTTAGTAAAATTTAAAAAAGGGCCAAAAAATTTTAACCAAAATATTATTGCCTATGCCTCAAAATTTAGAAGTCCAAACCTTTCTGATATCTATGGGAAAAAAATCAAAAAGCATGGGTAATTTACTCTTAAAATTTTGAGTTATTCGTTTTTAAAATTAGCTAAATCGAGCCGTTTAGCAACACTAATATAATGTGCTCGATAGATGTTTAAAAATCATTTTCTTTTCAGATAATATAACAAAAAATAGTGTAATAAAATTTTAAACTATTTCTAACATAACAAAATTCTATATTAGTTCCTTTCATTAATTTATTATGAATTTATTTATAAAATAAAAAAATTTATATGATTATATATATACATTTATAAAATAACCCTAAACAATAAAAAAATCGGATCGTTTTTTAAAAAGACCAGCTCAATCCTATATTTTTGAAGACGCTAAATATCGGTGCCGATCCGACCTGAATCGGCACAGCCCTATATCAAATTAACCTCGTCATCTCATCATATGATCATACAGTATATGTGGCATAAAATCGGATAATATACCTGAGGGAAAAATTGATTATAATATAAATATTTTAATTTTTTTTTCTATTAAAATTTTTATTGATTTTCTAGGATAATAAAATAATTTTTAACATTTATATATTTTTTTAAAGCATTAATTCAATATATTATAATCTTTACTTTTTTAAAATAACGATAGATATTTAGCTATGGGAAGCTTACCAATGATCAATTCGGAGTTTTTGACTTCTGAATTTTTTATTAATATATTGAGCTATGGCTGTCTTTTAATACCAGCCGCAATTCTCATTCACTATATCAAACGCAAATATGGAGACTGCCCAGGTATCTACTTAAAAATTACAATATAATCCATATTACTTATTTTTAATTGATTGTACCAAATATTACATTTAATCAAATTTCAATAAATTATTTTCGATAAACTGATTTTCAGGCCATACCAGACAGAGCATTTTAGCATCATTAGTCATAATTAAAAAAAAAATTAAAACCATAAATAATATATAGGGTAAGTTATACAGGGTGGGTAGTTTAAAATATATATTATATATATATATATATACCTATTATAATTATGTTTAAATATGGAAATTATTTAAGTCATTATTAAAAAAAATTAAAATTATAAATAACAATAGTTATAAATTACAAAGGATAGCTAAAATATATTATATCAATTAGTATTACTTTAAAATATGGAAATTATTTAGATATAACTAGTACGCATATGATAAAATGCGCAAACGCTCGAAATACCACAAATTTTTTTGCAACGCTCGATTTTCAGCTTGCTATTTTTTAACATTATGAATTCTTACGATAGAACTCTCTCATATGGCCTTAGCATAAAATTAATTTTATTTAATTTAGATGCTGCTCCTTTTTTACTGCGTGTATTTGCTCTCGATCATCCATCTTGTACTACAGAACCAATATTTTCTTATATAATTCAATGGCTTAAAAAATTTGTGATGAGTAAAGAATCAAATCATAATGCTAGTTTATATTCTTATTCCCCGATTAAACCAAATAAAGCACTAGATACTCATAATGACGCCCATAGAAAGTTTTCAACCAATGGTCATTTGATAGTCGAAAATTCCACTGAAACGAATAAAAATGAAAATTCGAGTCAATTACCACCATCCGATAAAAGTTATTACCCGACCCTGATATTATGCTTTCTAGGACTCCAGGGAGTATTTTTGACTTGGGGCATCGTTCAAGAAAAAATTATAACAAAACCTTATCGACGTATTCTAGATATCGATGCTGAAGCTCTCGACTCTCCGATCATGGATAAATTTACGGACTCGCAATTTTTAGTCTTCACAAACAAACTCGCAGGGTTTATATTGGCGGGCCTTTGGCTATCTTCGAGAAGTTACATCTTTAACATATTCAAATCCATTTTTTATCGCAGGCCTTCTAAATATTATGACCCCTATCCCAAATACGATTTTAATATCCATTCACTAAATAATAATATATGTGATAATCTCATATTAAAACCTGCCCTTTATCGTTATTCTTACGCATCCCTATCGAATATTCTTAGTAGTTGGTGCCAATACGAGGCTCTTAAATATGTTTCATTCCCTACTCAGGTCCTTTTTAAATCCGGAAAAATCATTCCCGTCATGATTATGAGTAAACTTATGTCGAATCAAAAAAAACATTATGCTTGGCACGAATATTTTTGTGCTGGGTTAGTTTCCATTGGTATAGGTGCCTTCTTGATATCCAGAAGTCATTCCAAAAAAAATTCTTCGTTGTCACCCGATTTAGATATCTGGAAATGGGTTTCTGGTTTGAGCGACATATCTATTTCTACGCTCTCCGGCATTTTATTACTTATCGGTTACGTTATGTTCGATAGTTTTACCTCTAATTGGCAGGCTCAGTTATTCGAAAGATACAATTCAAAGCCAATAAATCAGAGCAATAAAAAAAAAAGTTTTTACAAAGAAGTAACCTCTATAAAAGATGACGCTTCTAAAGAATCATTCCATAAAATATCCTATGATAACGAACGCATGGAGAGTTTGGAAGATTTTAAAGAAAATTCTAAGTTATTGGGGGAACCCGAAATTTTACCCAAAAGGGTTACTAAAAGTTGCATCAAAGGAGCCAGTCTCTCTTCTTGGGACATGATGTGTTACGTCAATTTTTTTTCGACTATTTTCACGGGGTTAAGTTTGGTGTTGCGAGACCTTAAAATTGGACACGGGGATGGCCTGATGCAATCCATTTTTTTTGCACGCACCCACGAAATTAGTTTTTTGAGAGACCTAGCAGCACTTTCATTATGTTCGGCATTAGGCCAGATATTCATATTTATGACTATATCCAAATTCGGAGCGGTAACTTTCATTACAACTATGACGATCCGTCAGGGCTTTGCTGTTTTGTTATCTTGCCTCATTTATGGCCACCGAGTGGGGCCCTTAGGTATCTTAGGTATTATGCTGGTATTTTCTTCTCTCTTTGCCAAAATATATATTTCTTCTCGCCTTAAAAACATTAACAGAAATAAAGGGGGTATTAGCTCTCTCAAGGAACTAGAAAGTCAAAATAATTTAGAATTCAAGCATCTTCACCTATCGTCTCGGCTTTTCAGATGGTTCACTAACTTGCACGTTTTTAATAAAAATAAAATAAGGAAAAGATTATTTTTATAGATTTGAATTTTAGAACTTTTTAATCGCAAAGTATTTTACACGATTTTTAATGTATAATTTTTTTACAATACAATTTAAGTATCGTTTACCGAAGAATTTACTTAACAGATACCTTTTAATTATTATATAGTTTAAAATATACTGCAATAACATTTTTCATGCACCAAATAATACAACGTGATAATTTTTTTAAATATATTATTAATTTTATAAAATTTACACAAAATCTGCACTTAATTTTACATCCCCTTATCTATTTTTTTTTGTTGTTCATTAATATTTAAAAAATCATTCAAAGACTATAATGGCTTGTCGAATTATTTTATTTATTTATTTCGTCAAACAAATTTTTAAATCGTATAAAAATGTTAATATTAAACTATATGAATACTTCATTTCCTGCATAATATATAGCAAATGTAAAATATCACTTTTTAAAATTGTCGGTAATTCTCTCTTTTTATATGTAAATTTTTAGGGGATGCTTCACCTTTGGAAATAAAAATTCGTTTAATCGTACACTTAAATATGATATGATTTTTTTCTAAGTCGTTTTAATATTTTAGTGGCTAAAAAGTGTGGCCTTTAATTTAAATATTTTTTTTGCGTATTAATATTTATGCTGCGAAAACTTAACGTATAAATCCTTACATTTTTTTAAACTTCTGGTATAAGAAAATTTTATCAACAAAAAAAAATTATATTTCAACATTTCTAGAATGCATAAAATGTCCAGATATCCAAAGACATAGAATTATTCCCAACTTGTATTACAAGCAGTAAAAAACTGCAAAAAGCATGCCCGACAAACTGTTACAAAATTTTTGGATCTACAAGTCTATTTTAAGTTCCCTTGGAAAAATATGAGCCTAAAGTTTTGAAACGAAGAGCCTTAAGATTAATTTGACATATCTAAAATTCTCATTTATATGTTACAGTCGAAATTGGCGTCGTATACACTAGTGGGACAGGAATAAATTTTTAAAATACCTTGTATTTGGGAACTTTTTGGGTCTCCGAAATCTAGCTTTTCGTTAAATTTTTATCATTATATTTTAAATTAGTGAACGAGAGATATCTTGTTGCATATTTAGTAGCGTTAATATTAATTCATAAACATATTTCCATTTTACATTTATAATAATAATATAAATGGATTTCAATGACAAATCAACAAAAAACAAGATTTCTGGACAAGCCTCTTTAACATTAACGAAGCTTGACACGATGGTTCTGTACAGGGCTGTGCCGATCCATATCCATTTTTTCGTCAATCCCATCTGATATTTTCCAATGCAAAACCGATCTGATATTTATATTAATTTTTATTTACCATCTATCTTTGAACCAATGCTTTAAAAATTCAATATTTTCTATTAAAAAAAAACCAACCAACTTTCATGAATGATTAAGTGTATATTGTTTTTTTTCTTCAAAAGTTAATCATCTTATTTAAAATATGGGCAATTTATAATCTAGCAGAGTTTATAAATTAAAAACACTATAACTTATGAATTATCCACTTTTATGAAATATCAGAATTCTCTAATATATTTTTTAAAAAATTATTGCCCGGACCGACCCAAAAAAATTTTCAGACATATATATTGAACAAGTGCAATTATTTTCTGACAAATCAGAAAAATTTTCAATTATTATGTTGCATTCTATAATACTTATGACCAAATCTTCCTGAAGAAAAAAGTTTAATCGGATTAGTAAAACAAATATTTAAAAAAATCTTTCGTGCCTAAAAAAAATATAGATCCGATGTAAAGCTATGGTTTAACGCTGATTAGGATTTGGTCAGGTGAACAGGTTAAGTCCGTACAATAATACTATACCAAAAAAAACCCATTACACTTTTCTATTAAATATTTTTATTAAATAATAATTAGATTAAAAAAAGTAATGTAGTTATCTATTTTTAAAAATTATACAGTTAAATATAAAGGTAATCATTCCAAGCATGTTCTTGCACCTAAAAATTCCCTTCTCTAAATTTTTCAACTTTATCAAAAATAATAACACATGATTTCTTACGTAGAATTTTAAACGCTATAAAATTATACAGCATAAATATTTTTTTTAAGTGAGATTTAATCATGATTTGCACTAAACCTAAAACGAAATACTCTTTATTTAATTTGTATTATTATTTATAATGGGAATTTTTCGTAAATATTTTATTTTTCATTCGTATTCGTAAATAAATATAAAAATTAGAAGAAATTTATTTTCCTAGTGGATAAAATTTCTAAACTTTATTTCCTTCTGCATGTTTTTAATAATTTCATTTGGCGAACTTTGATTTATTATAAAGATTAAAAAGAATGGACAAAGTAAAACATATTGAATGAATATGCATAATTATTTGATTATTTCAAAGTGTAAGATATATAGTAAGTTTATCAAACACAAATGTAGATAAATATTTTTATAAGCAATTCTAAACATCGGGTAAGTTTTTGGCCAAGTTATATCTGGATAATGTTATGAAATATTCAGATTTTATTTTGATTGTTTTTTTCTGCAAATTTTGATTCACTCACGACAATTAGTTAAATTTTGGCAGAACATTTTAAATATCTATTCATAATTTTTTTGCAAAATACATTCTACTTTTTATAAACTTCATAAATTTAATAATTTATAATTCCTATGAATACGAAATAATTCTATTCGTACAAATATGAAATAGCACAATTATTTTATTCGAATACGAATAATAGAATTATTCAAACTTTTTTGTATGCCAAATTTATAGAGAAGTACAGATATTTTCATCGGATCGGGTCGATTATTCATCTTTTTTTAAAATTTCGGTTATCGGCTGATATTAAATTTGCCGATACGATTCGATAAAATGGCGTCTTAATTTTTAAAAAATTTCCAGTTTGTTTTATTAGCAATTCAGCGATTATAAAAGAAATTAGTGGAGAAAATACATCAATTAATATGTTATACCATTCGTATACTTAAAAAGAAATTGCTGATCATGGTGAGCACGATATATTTGTTACGACTATGAAGGATGATGCGAATGTGATGTATAAAAATCACTATATGTTTTTCGTATATTTGTAATGAATTTTAAGAAAATGTTCGATGATTATAAAATAAAATATGATGTATCAATCAGTCAACCATTAATGCAATCAAATATCGACGTAATTTTTAAACAAAATGTCTTGCCAATTTCTGAAGTTGAACATATTTAAACGAAGCGTGAATCAAGTCGAATAAAAACCCACTAGAATGGTGGAAACTACACGGAGATCGTTTTCCCGTTTATCTAAACGAGAGATATATTATCAATACAGGATCTTCAACCCCATGAGCGACTCTTTTCTGTTGGAGCGCATATTGTTACCAAATATAGAATGTCGTTAAAAGAGGATACAATCCGAAAAACTTTGTGTTTAAAAAATTGGTTGTTGTTGTAGTAATACCAACTACTAATTTATAAACAATACGACTACTAATTTATATTTCAATTTATTTTTAACATCAAATTTATATTTATTGTTTTTCGAATGTTCGATTCTATTTTAATATACAATATCTATAAATAATGATTTATTAATTTATTACATTTCCTTCAAACAATTTAAAGTTAGATTTCTTCAATAAACCTCTTTGTAGGTTTACGGTTTCTTGATGAGTAACGTAATGTGGTATTTGTGTTTGTATTTGCTTCATTCACTGGCACAACCATTTCTGTAACTTCCAAAGAACTTTCATGATTTGGGATAACTAAACGATTTCTTAACTGATCTGCATGCTTCCGTAATGTTTTCCCGGAAGATTCAACAGTATAAGAATAAAGTCCTATTCTTTCTTTAATTACTCCCTCTCTCCAACCATTGGTATTTTCATTATTTAACCATATAGGTTGTGAGATTTCAAATTCTCTTTCCTTTGAATGTAAATCATGATGAAGGCTTTGTTTATCATTGGCCCTTACTATTTCGTGTTCGGCATTTGGTCGGATCCAATCCAGACTTGTTTTCAATTGCTTCCCAAACATAATTTTAGCAGGAGATCTCCCTGTGGAACTATGCTCTCCCAATCGGTAGATTGTTAAAACCTGTGTCATAGCTTCTTCGGGATCGCTAATTGAATCTCTCGTTGCATAATACCGACCTTTCAAAGTTCGTACTGTACGTTCAGCTAATCCATTAGTTTTTGGATGATAGGGTGCCGAACGTATATGACGTATGTTATTTAAATCACAATACCTACGGAATTCCCCTGATAAGAATTATGGTCCTTTGTCTGACACACTGTACTTGGGTATTCCAAACCTAGCAAACCATTTATTTAGTCGTTTTATCATAGCATCAGCAGAGGTATTCTGCATTAGATCAACTTCTAACCATGGTCTATTTTTCTGGCATCCAGAACATATTTTGATAAAATTTTCTATATCAACATCACATCTGGGCCACCAACAATACAATCTAAAAATAGATTTCATTACATTTTCCCCAGGATGTCCCCAGTGAATCATTCCTAACACTGCATTTCTTAATTTATTAGGAATAACCAATCTCCCATTCCATTCTATAATATTACTATTGACAGAAAGCTCTTCCCGTCGATTATAAAAATTAACTATTTCTTTATCTTTATGACGATCAAAGTTTCGCCAACTTTGCTGAATATGTATTGCTACTTTTTTTAATATTAAATCTTGCTTCGACTCTTTTCGCAGAATATTTTCTGACAATTGCATATCATCCAAATTAATACTTCGAATATCCAAAGCATGTTTAGAATCTTGATTCTCTTCCGAAATTTCTTGGTGTTTATTAATCAAATCTCGAATTCTAGAATCTAGTGTTATGCAACATTTTTCTTTTTCAATATTGTTGACCAAATTGCGTACTTGTTTAATCATAACCTGACGAGGCATTTCTAAATTGAATGCTATAATCCATGGTAATCCGAAAAGAGGCACCCCAGTTGTATTCATTATTACCACTGGTAGAGTCCTTGTCTGTGATCCAATCCTAACATTGACTTGGGTCTCGCCCTTGACGTCTAACGGATGATCACCATATGCAGTCAATGGACTGGTTGGCCTAATTTTTGGTCGCCCAATACTTGTCCATATATCAATTCCTATCAACGCTTGTGCACCAGTGACAAAATCAAATTCAACATCTAACCCATTTATCTCTGCAGTTAGTTTTGCTCGATTCTCTCGATTTTGTTGAATCTTCCAAATATTATAAATAGAATCACTTGATGACACTCTTATATAATTTAAATTCTTTGATTTACAGCAAACTGCAAAATGACCAATTTTTTTACATTTATTACATGCCGCATTTGTAGCTGGACATCTCACTTCTCGGTTATGAATAAAACCACATTTATAA